ACTTGATTCTTGTCGATGGTAGCCAGGCTTTGTGAGTTACCCGCTGCAGTATTTCTAGCCCCTGACATGCGTTTGTAGCCACTGCATTTATATGGTGTGCCCAGTCAGTTTGTGGACAATGGCAACACGCAGGATATTGAAAGTGGCTGATTCAATGATGGTAACACCACTGAATGGCAAGGGGCTATGTTTAGGTTGTCTCTTATTGGAGATGGTCATTGCCTGGTATTCGTGTAGCACAAATGTTACTTGCCACTGGTCAGGCCAAGCTTTGAAATTTCCCAGGTCTTGTTACATTTGAACATGGACTGCTTCAGTACCTGAGCACACCCAAGGCAACACTCCTTCCCCCCTCCAACTGTACACCACCGTGCTGCCACGTCTGTCCTGTATTAAGAGAGAACATGATGTGGAGGTACCCATGTCTCTCTCTCTCACACACACACAGACACATTCTCTCTCTCTTCCCAGCCCCCACATACTGACATGCACACACACACGTAAATCTATGGGGTGAATTTGTATTTGCAGATACTTTACATTTTGTTCAAAAAGCACACAATTTATACAGTCAGTCAATGTGGCATTTTATAAATTCCTACTTTAGAAATAAAACCAGTCTAACTCCAAACCAAAACACAAACAGATTCTAGCCAAGGTCTCACACCTAACATGCAATGTCTGACCTAAAATGTCACCTCTTCTTTACATAGGTAAAACCTTTAGTTCTCTCAGGGCAGTGACTTGAAATAAATTCGGGGATTAATACATACATATTAATCAATTAAAACCTCCTAACTGATTAAAGATTTAACAGCATCTTAGATGAGTTTAGTACATCCACATTAGTAGTGTGGCCCTATGATCTTTTACTTGTACATTCTGTGTCTGATACCACCTCGCTCACAAAACACCTGAAGGAGAAGTAAGGCTCCCAAAGCTTGTGAGATAACAAGGTGTAGAGCTGGATGAACACAGCAGGCCAAGCAGCATCAGAGGAGCAGGAAAGCTGACGTTTCAGGTCAGCTTGTGTTTTACTGTTGGACAATAACCTGGTGTCGTGTGATTTCTGACCATATCCAAGGATGTATCTTACATCAGGCTGTTGCTTGACTGGTCTATGAAAGAGCTCTCCTAATTTTGACATTAGCCCCAGATGTTATTAAGGAGGACTTTGCATGGTCAACAGGTCTGTTTTTTTACATTGTCATTTGCAGTGCCTAGGTCGATGCCACATTGTCCATTCGGTTACTTGTGACTTATTTCTTTGTTGAGACTTCATAGCAATTGATATAACAGACTGGCTTGTTTGGCCATTTCAGATGGCAGTTGAGAGTCAACCACATTGCAATGGGTCTGCAGTGACATGTTGACTAGATGAGGTGAAGATGTCAGATTTCCTTCCCTTAAGGACATTAGTGAACCAGATGGGTTTTTCCAACAAATGGTTTCATGTAATTTCTTCATTCCAGATTCTTTTTAATTGAATTCAAATTCCACCATCTTCCGTGGCAGGATTTAAACCCAGGTCCCCAGAATATGAGCACCGTTTCTGGATTAATTGTCTAGTAATAACACTACTACTTCATCGCCTCCCCAAAATACGTCAAAAAAAAAATTGCAGCCCATGTTTTTAATCACTGCCCATTCCCAAAAGAAATTGGGTTTAAATCACTGCAGCATGATGGAATCTAAAAGACATGATCTAACAACATAATTCACACCCTGGGCAGCTACATTCAGCACCTGGTTTTGGCCTTAGTAAGAGCACTAAGTACAAGTGAGTGCACATCCCCTGGAGAGGGTCAAAAAATAAATAAAATGTATTTTCAAACATCTCCTTGAAAATCAGATAGAGCAGCATGCTACATCAAGCTCCACAATGAAATTGGTACCTTGAACCTCTCCTTCGTCACAATCCCCTCGGGCATCTTGCCCCACCCCACCCTCTAGGCATTTACCTGACTACCAGGGACCAATTCTTACCGATTACCGATTAAGCCTCCTGCTTAGCCTGCCTGGCAGTCAAGGGATCAGTTAAAACATGGTGTGGGGTTTTAAGGTAACCCGAGACTCACACTGACATTCACAACATTGTCAGAGGTGTATGTGTGGGGTCAATCAAGACCCTTTTTATTTCTCCGTTCGATTCACTTCCCAAATGATCACTGCCTTTGTCTGTCTTCCTCCTTTTTAAAGTGCTGCTGTTTTGACCTTTTTGCTCCCAAAGTTCCAAAACAATGCAACAGCTTAAAAATAGTAATTACTGCCCTTGGAGTTCAAGGAATTCAGTTCCAACACTGAAAATACCTCAAAAAAAAAAGGAGCAGCTCTTACAGCCACAAATTTTTCCCATCCTCCATCTTGAAATACGACATTTAAAAGGCACCTGGATAGGTATATGAATAGGAAGGGTTTAGAGGGATATGGGCCAAATCCTGGCAAATGGGACTAGCTTTATCTAGGATATCTGGTTGGCATGGATGAGTTGGACCGAAGGGTCTGTTTCCATGCTGTACATCTCTATGACTCTATTAATAGATCTGCAATCTGTATCCCATTATAAGCTGTTACTTCCTGCCTCATGAATCTGCACCCTTTATACTGCAGGCTAGCTTTAAAAAAAATACACAAAGACATTACTGCACTTGCACCATGTAGCCAGAATGTGGACATAATAATAAGAGAACAAACTTTCTTTTTTAGAACTGCACTTTGGCAGACAGTACACACACTGGAAATGAGTATCACTTCAAATACACAATGTTCATGATCTTTCCAATGGACGAAGGAGACTGCACTCCTTTTCAAAATTTTATCATCTGCACATCCAATAATTCAGTGAATCATAGGGTGCATTACATGGCCAGCTTTACTCCAGAGCTCATCAGTAACAATTTGCCTTTAAATACCACCTTTAACATGAGAAAACGTACCCACGTACTTTACAGGACCTTAAAAAAAAAAATTCAGAGACACCCACACACTTCAACTGAAAGTGTCAAACTTGCACCTTTAAGGCAATGAAAACTGTGTTGGAACTTTGCCACTGCCGCACCCATCTAGAACTACACAGAGATCATGTCAGCTGACCTTTCTTATGTCGATGTACAGCATGTAGCATTATTGAATGTCAAAGTCTGGAAGGAAGGAGTAAACCTCACCGACCAGCCTGCTCAATTTTGTATCAACAAACGGAAACTTACTAAAACATCAAAAGTCAACTTTTATCTGTACAGAACTTTTGATACCGAGGTGCACGTGATCTACAAAAACAGATTTAGGTTTAACCACATGTAAAATGTTAAAAATTCAGTCCAAGTTTAACTGTTAAAATATGTAGGTTAGCATGTAAATTGATGGGAGGAACTCGCTGATATTACAGGATTCAAGTGTATTTCTTTCAACAACATTTGGAGCACATTTTATTGCCAATTGAAATATCATCAGTATATTTTGGTACCTGACCAACAACTGCGCAAACTCATTTTACAACGTAAACTGAGAGATTCAGGAAGATTTAATGCTATCACAATTTACAGTAGATATGAAGTAACTTCCATTTTGCACCAATACTGAACATGCAGTGCGAATCAGGAGACAAGCCCTGTATTAAACTTGCAGCAAATCAAAGTAATCTGAAAATTCTGTGATTTGATACCATAAATGCTATTCTGTGCGATAAGCCTGGTTTTGAAAGCATGTAGGGGGGCTGCTGGATCCCATGGAATGTTTTACATTATTTAAGTACCTTTAAGGCAAAGATTCTCTATTCCTCACTCTCTACTCACTTATACTTCAAATTTGAGACAGCTCTAATACAGCCACGGGCAGAGCTAAGAAGTGTGAACATGGCTCTGCCCGGTTGAAACCCAAACTACAGCTGATGGTCTCAAAGTGTAGTGGAATTACTGTTTTTTGAAGACAGAATTATAATCACACCCTGTGCATTTAACTTAAAACCTATCCCAGGAGGCCCTACAACTTAAATTATTTATAACTCATTTTGCAAAGAAAAAGGAACTGTCAGCCGAACGGCTGCTGCTATTGTGCTAGCTGTCATCTCTAGCTCTCTGACATTGCTAAAAGGATATTATGTACATGCTTGTGTTGTGCAGAAATTTTTGAGAGAGCACAAAGGACCAAAACAGCAGGCAGGTATCTGTATAATATTACCAATATGATGCATGATGTTATTACAATCTCGCTACAACTTTAATAACCACTTGTATTGTGAATGCATGGTAACCAAATATGAAAATTATAGGAACATTGATAACACAATTATATAGTGCATTAAGCAGCACATTCAAAATTTAATACATTCTCTATCTGTTGTGTTGAAAAGCAAGCACTGTCAACGGAAATCCAATCTGAAGCCACAAGGGCCATTTACTTCAGCACCATTCGATTGTACAGTTCAACACACCAGCAATGATGGACATTGTTTTGGAAGGTCAGACAACACAAGCAACAGTTCAGGCTATTTCAAATCATTTCAAAGCTGACTTTATCACAAAAGATAAAAAAGTGGAACACCACCACCTTTCCTTTCATAGGAAAGCGCTCACGTGCCTGTATGCACATCATCAAAGAAGTTAAAGGCAAAGGTGAATTATACCAAATCAGGTTACTGGGGCTATAATACATTAGCTACGAACGCAGAGAGCAAAAATGAAAACTAGATTCAAACCGTTGCTTTCTACACTTTCAAATCATCCATTGAGAATTGAAGAATTTCCTAACTTCATTTTACTGTAACACTTCAAAGTAATGCACCTTTGCTTATCTAACTTGAAACATAGATTTGAACTTTTTCAGTTAGCATCATTTTACCTGAATACAACCGCCACTTGTGGAAAAACAGTCAATAAAATAGTGTCTACGAGTAAAAAATGCCAGCACAGTCCTCCAGCGAGAAGTTTCAACTTCATTCTCTCGCGAGTTCAGCTCATCAGCCGAACTCCGTTTTGCACACTGCTTCAATCTCTGCCCAGCAGAATTCAGTCCCGCACCGGCATTGCTTCTGTTGGGACGCGAGTACAAAAGCGACGTGTTGTTGCCGAAGATGTAATTCATCTCTGCAGGTGGTTGCCGGGCAGAGTCTACCACTACCAGCTGCCGAATGGAGCACGTAGAAGCAACAGCAGACAGAATTACATCAGCATCACAAAGTACAGCAGACAGAACCTAGCTACCTGAACAGTTAAAAACGTTGTCTGGAAGTTCCTTAGGGCCGGGGAATACAGAACGAGTTTAAGACTATTGACAGCACAGGCTCTTTGAAAATCACAGTGCAGAGGGCCCTAATTAAATGTAGCCTTGCTTTCTCTTTTCCATCAACTGTTTCTAGCAAAGCTACAGAAGAATTAAAGCCTGTTGTTCCCTGTGGGTTTGTAACTATTTTGAAAGGCAGATGCAAGGTCAATTAACAGG